GGGCTTTAAAAACAGGGGGGAATGGTCAGCTAAAGCTCTTCTAAGAGCAAAGCAGTAAAAATAAAAGAGGCATGTGCACCCCATGAAATGATAAGTTATTGCTCTGATAAATGCCACTGCCAAGGAGAAGCTTCTTGCACAAGACAGTGTGGCCCTAGAGACTAAACAGCAGCTTTYATACTTACCTTTCATAAACCCAGGGGGAGGCAATTTTCTGACAGCACTGCTGACCACAYTAATTTCTTACATCAGTTCAAGCTGTTTTATCTTCTGTTTGGTGTCTTTGGTTATATCCACACAAATGTGTTCAGGGCTCTCTCCTCCTCAGAAAGCAAATGTGTCCAGGGAGAATTGGATGGAGGGCATAGTGGTGCTCATCCCCATCACAACTGTAAAAACCTCACTAAAACGTTCCTTTGTCCCRCTGTCACAGCTGATGAGCAGCAAGGGAATAACACAATAAAGAAAAGSTAACAAGGAGGTGTCAGCAGAAGCAGCAAATACCAAGTTACTATGTGGAACAGATCATTACCACTAGCTTTCACATTGGGATTTCTTTGGAGGGGTAGAGGGGGTGGTCAGCAGGGTGAAATAGATTACTGAGCTCCCTAAATTTCAGGCATCATCACCTCAGCTCTCACTGGGGATTTCCCCAAAGTCACCAAAGATGGGAATATAGCAACTTCCACTGAGCATGACAAARTGCAGGTGGGGAAAATGGCCCAAACAGCCTTCACAATTTAATGTCTATTCTTTTTGTTTTGCTGCTTTCTGCTACATAACAAAACACTCTTGTCTTCTCAGCWTTATCTTGGTAATGAACAACCTATCCTGTTCTTCCCTGGTACAAAGCCCTCATGGTGATCCCCTGTATCATATGCAGAAACACACAATACTCCCTGTTACTAAATATTCTGCTGAGATCTTCACAGCTAAAATAGTTTTAAGAAACCTCTGACAGTGTCTACACACAACTTTAAACCCATCCCACCCCAGTCTGTCACAACTGCAGTGCCCAGGAGAAGCAGCCCTTGCCTGATGCTCTGATCTGAACTGTGCCTGAGCTCATCTCAGCTGTCCTCAACAGTTCTTCCAGAACCAAAGCAAACCCATGCCTGGAAAGGAGGAACTACATGAGGGGAAAAACTCCAGCATCCCAATCTGATTAACCTCCAGACTTGCAGTTACAATCTAGGCAGAGAGGAAAGGCAAATCTCAGCAACCTGATTTACATTAGTCAATGAGGAAGGATGAAGAAGCAGCAAACAACTAAAGCTTCTTAACATTCCTGAAAAAAAAAACCATACCAGAAAGAAAATGAACCTGCAAAGGTATGCCATAGAAGAAATACAAATTATCCACTTGATTTACTGCACAAGAGGGATTTAAATGTGATTGAAACCTCCAAAAGTTTCAGATGTATTAAGTCTATACTGTCAAGAAGGGAAAAGGGTTTACAAATGATGGTGGCTTACAAACAAGCTCCTGTCCTTTCACTCCATCGTCATGTGAGGCAGAGTTTGTTGAAAGAGAAAGAAGAAAGCAACCTGCACTTCACAGCTGGATACTGGAATTTAAAACAATTTGCTAAACCAAGAGTTCCCTGCCCTGCTCTTCTCCAGCACCAGCTTTGCACACCAGTTCACTGTCACCCGCCTCACCAAGCCTGGGGAGGGAGAACAGACAGGCTGCAAGCTGGCACACGGAGGGAACAACTCCAAAAGTCACACCTGTTCCCAAGGCTCTGACTCAGCTGCAGGACAATGCTGCTCCTCCTGATGCCCCCCAAGGTGACAAACAAAAGCTGCGGGTAAAACCTGTCTTTTGAAGCGCAGGGTGACAGTGACTCATGCCAACCTTCCATAGCCTTGTTGACGTCTTCAGATCCAGATTTTCTCACTTAGTTTCTGGAGAGGTTATAGTAAAACTGCAAGAAYACTCTCTTGGGATTCTCCTGGCCAMAGACATACCTGGAGAATTGTATCTAAAGAAATTTCTGAGATGCTGGTGACTGTCAGCTCAAGGAAGCAGCTGGGMTTATCCTCATCATTGGTGTTTAACACTGTAAGGAAACAGCAGACAGGTAATGTACTCTTGAATTCAACAAACCAAACTATTTTATTGTCCAGCTAAGAAAATGTTTCTCTCTGCAACAGGTCTCTCAGAAAGGGACTCAAATGTGTGTCACAAAACTCAACAGTGTTCTGCATCCAGAGACCAGTCACCACATCATTTTTTAATTTTATTTTTATTTATCATTCAAAAAATCCACTATTACCATTTTAGGGACSCTGAGTCCAGGATCAAGACTTTAATGCAGCAGGTAGGGTGCAAACTCAGGGCAAAAAGACTGTCCCAAAAACTTGAGATCTAAGTACATCAGAAGTGTGGGCATTCTTTCTCAAATAAAGCCTGCATGCAGCTGTTTCCAGTTCATTGACCTGTTTCCGGTTTTTTCTTTTCTTTTTGATTTAATGTGGGGGATTAAATAGCTTTATCTAAACTAAAACAAATATCACTTAAGCTAAGTAAAACTTTCCCACCACTGCTTGACTTCCAGTTTGGCACACACTTTTTTGAAACAGAAGTTTAAAACAAGCAAGGAATACTTTTCCATAAACCTGATGGTTATGTCTCCTGTACAACGGCTTGCTGGAGTGACAGAGTGGATACCAGAAGWATAAATGTGTTCAAAAAACACCTGYAGACACCCTTACAAATAAATGTGGTTAGATACAAAGGCACAGGGAGTGTTTCAAACCTTCATTGCGTGAGCCTCAGCCAGATGAGCGGGTGTTCCAGGACAAGGATCACTCTCACTATTTGCCTCGTTCTCTTTTCCTAAGTACCCACTGCCAGCTCTCCTCAGAGAGAAAACAACGGGCTCAGAAAGAGTTTCTGCCTGCCCCAGCAGGACCATGCCTGTGTAAAAGAAAACAACAAAAAATTGGCTCAGAAAAATAAGCTTTAAATTGCTACCCGCTATAATCAAAACAGAAAAGCCCCTTGCTACCATCAAATCTATTTCTGTGAGGCACAGCAGCTGAACAAGATGTCACTACACTGAGCAGGGCACAATCTGAGGATGAGCCACAGTTTGAAACCAAACCAGTAYATAAAATAACAATGAGCAAACTCTTAGCAAACACCACAGGAGGCAAGAGGTCCTAAGGAGATATTKGAAGGAGATGGAGAGACTACTTGCTCTCACTGTGACATCCAATGCCCTTGCACACTGTTCTGGGAATTACTAGAGAGTTKCTGCCACCGTCAATGTCACTCAAGCAGTTTTCCCTAGGAGAAAATATTTTTAAAGGTTTACAGACACAGCAGATAACTAATATACTAAATTGTCAGTTCTAGAGAGGCACTTACACATTCCTGCTGGACTGAGGTAATGGCATCAGTCTAACACCAGATGTAGACTACAGTGCAAACAGATTAATCATAAACAGTTCATTCTTACTGGTCAGGAGCAATGSACAGAGCAGGACTGTTTTACTATTATTTCTGCCATTTCTAAGGTCACTTGTGGTATAATCATTAATTCAAACAATAGCAGGTGATACATGTTTTTAAGGGAGGAGACTTTTCACTAGACCCAAAACTTGCCAAAGGAAAAACAGTGTTCAGCTCTTATAAAATGAGAACTTAAAAGCCTGTGGAAGGTAAGTCCTGAGCAGCCACTTCAGCACCTKGCAGGCACCAAATGACCCAGGGAAACTGCATCAAGTTAGACTGATGAAGCTACAGCAGGGCTGTGTGATGATGGTAGATCTTAGAACTTCTATCCATAAACACTTTCCTTTGCTTTTCTTAATAAACAGAATTATAGATTACCTTCTAGTACTTTCAGCTCTTTTATTATTTATATTTATTTGTGGAATAAATACTTGCAATGGGATGTAGGGGCCGGTTTCACTGAAACAGATTTTGGGTTTGCTTCAAAAATAAAACCTCATACAAACAGAGGTCCAAGCAAACAACAAGCCTCATGAGCTAAGGGAAAGGGTGCCGAGTGGCACCCTTGGATTGCTTGGTGCCAAGGTAAAATGYGCACCATGGGAGGGAACTGCAAACAGCATGGAAAGAAGAGCTCAAAGCACTGCTGGTAAACAGGTTTTCTGTGAGGCACTCAGCCTTCTCGGATGATGGGCTGGAAACAGCCACTGAGAGGTGCTGAGGATGAGTCCAGCGCTGAGTGCCGAGAACAGGGAGGGAGAAGGCACCAGTAGGTGTGCAAGTGCTGGTGGGTGCTGAAGAGCTGGGGCTCAGCCCAGGGACAGCAGGTCACAACTCCCAGGCACGTCTRAGCTCCCCGGCAAGGTGTCGCTCACTTCAGACTCTGCTGATCCAAATATACGACTGGCAGCCGCGCTTTTCCTCTGCAGAAGAACCGAGCACATGCTTGCCCACCTCTGCACCACTTGACACGCACCCTGGCACCCCTTCCTCACAGCCCGGCCGGAACATTTCGGAGGAGGTTACAGCCTCCCCCACGAGCACGCACTTGCGAACATCCAAATCCCACACAGGCCGGCTGCTTGAAACAGAYCTTCCCCTTCATCCCCGCACCAGGCAGCAGTCTTTCCACCCAWTTTAGGCTACACTGGGGCTCCCCCACCCCGGAGGATCGCGCGGTTCCTCYTCGCAGCCCGCGCCCGGCTCTGGAGCCGCGGAGGCGTCACAAGCGCGGGGTCCGCACTCAGCCCGGCCCCGGCGCATCGCACCGGGACTGCGAGTGGGAGCATCCCGGGCATCCTCCTGAGCATCCTCACGGGCATCCTCCCGGGCATCCTCCCGGCCTGCCCCCAGCGCCGCCCGCCCCGCCCGGCGGCTCCCGCGACGCGCGCAAGTTGCGGGGAGCGCGGAGGGAGCGGAGCCGCCTCTCCAGCAGCGCCGGGCAGGGAGCGCTCGGGGCGGCGCCGGAGTTTTCCCGGCCGGCTGCCACCTCCCCGCCCCTCCCCGCCTTCTCTCGTTTCATTTTTGGCGGGGGCAGCGCCGGCTGCGGAGGGAAACGCTTCGCTCTCCGCGCTCCGGGACCGGCGCCTGCCGCGGTGCGGATGTGTATGGACGAATCCTCGTGAAAACAGCTCCCGACGGTTTCCCCCTCCAAAAAAAAAAAAATACAAACCCAAACAAACCACCCACTTGGATAATTAAAACGGTAAATCTAGTTAACTTTTCATTATCTTGCTTGCTGTGTGCTTATATATGTCGGTATTTATGATTTATTTGGCTTCATTTCATCATCCTTTGGTTTTTGTTARTTATCTGATCTTGTGCTACCGGAGATTTTGAAATGTTGGGGTTCGGAACAGAGGAGGACTCAGTTTCTGCTTTTTGCTGAAGTTGTACTGAGGAATGAAAGCGTTCCTAGCTCACTCCAGCCTTGTGAATGTTTACTTGCTTTACCAACCTGAACATAGATGAGATTTCCTGTGGCAGCATCCTCCTGAGTTTGCTTTTCCTTTAATTTTAAGATGCTACCTAATACAGCAAAGATGTGTGTATGCTACACATGTAGGCTGATTGATTTTGTATACTGGCATCCACAGCTGARATTCCAACTAGGCTTTGAATCTCTTTAGTTCATGATGTTAACAAGTGAGCTGTCTTSTTTTTTCATCCTCATTGAGCTCGTGGATTCTGCCAAGAGATCATCCAAACCAAATCAAGTGGTGTTTCTTAGTCCTGTAATTATTCCGTTTCCTTTTCAGGATAGAAGCATGCTCTGGTTTGTACAGGTCACACAATTTGTACAGCTTCCTAATCCAGAGGGCTTTTGTTTGAGAGGTTATTCATTTTATACAGTCCTTGTATTGGTTGGATACTTTATGAGGCTGGGCAACCCCAGGCKTTCTGCACATTGTGAAAACCAACTTTAGGAGATTACATGTCTTTGCTTTGTTAGATATTATAATTCCACAGATACTTATGCTTTCTAATATTAGCTATTTTTCTTCTTGGAGTATTAATCCAGCAGATATTTACTTGAGGAAAATAAAATTGAAATGTTAGTTAAAAAAAAAAAAAAATCCAAACAAACAGTAGACACATGGAGAAAAGACTGTCTTATTCTCTTAAAATAAAAGGGGAGCATCAGTATTGCATAGCTGGTAAAAATTATTGATCTGAACTTTGCTTTAAAATATGAGCTAAACTTCCAAGTCTGACTTCAGAAAAACTTTGCTCCRGGTAGACTCTGTTGCTCTTCACTGAATTTGTTTCTTTGCTTTCTGGGAAGTCAATCATGTATTGATTTAGTTATCCATACATGCATGAGCATATACACCTGCACAGGCACACACCTGATATTGTCCAAGTGCAGGACTTGTGAGTTGAGTTTTTGAGCCACAGAGGGCTACAAACAATACCGGGGAAAGGAAGAAGTAGCAGAGGTTTACCATATTTGCTGTTGGGTATTTATTTTAAGGACCTTACCTTGGCTATGGGTCTCTGTAGTGAAAGAAGAGGGGCAGGACCCCAGGTGCACCCGGCACATGCTGCTGCTCTGAGCTGCCGCTTGCTGTGATTACATCTATATTTAAATTAATCTTAAAAAAACTTACCTTTGTCCACTGTTTATCCTCTTGCTGTTAAAAATAGATTAAAATATGCAATTGSTTGTTAATTTTGGTCTGCTAAATTCTGAGATCTGTTGATCCAAGAGATAAGTACTTTCCTTAGGGGCTAAAATAATTTTTTTTTCTTCATGATCATACAAACTGTTGTGTGCAGATGCTGCATGTTTCACTTTTTGCAGTGTTGCRTGAAACAGGAATATGGAATCAGGAGTCATTTTTCTCCTGCACACAGGACTTGAAAGGGTTAAGTGATTGGTCAGCAGCACTGCTCAAAGCATTAGTGACTCCAAGGAATATTACTTTCTGAGCACTGCAAAAGGCACAGCAGTGACTTTTGCCTCAGGTTGTTGTAAGATACTGTAACTAGACTGCTCTTGGTACCCCTGCCTCTTTACAATTACCATTCWCACCTTCTGTCTTTGGTGTGACTTCTGCAAAGTCCAGATTTCTGCCAAGTTTGTCAAAAATATCTGGAAGTTTCTTCTTTTTGATTGTGGAGACTGAAGCACTAGGAATGTCAAAGGAGGGGGGAAAGTAATCAGCTCCAATCCATTGTGAGGAGTTAATACAATATCTAAAATAGGATTTCTGACTTACCTAAWAGTCTGCTTTTTTTGAGAAGAGATTAATCAAGCCTTTGTTGTTTTGGAGTTTCATTGTAATTACTACTATTCCCAGAAGTTTTGTACTCTCCCCCACCCTCAGTGAAACCTACAAATAAGCAAGTTTCCTTGCATACTTCCTCCTCCTTCCTTCTCAGCCAGCTCCAAATCACCTGCCCTTTCATCCAGGCAGCAAATGAAGGGCTGACAGAGCACACTCAGGCAGGAGGCTCCCACTGCATTCTCACTACCAAGATTCCTCTTGAGCTGGGGTTACAGGACATCTCTCAGGYGCTCATGGCATTTTGTGCTAATTCCACATCTGAGGAAGACATACAACTATTTCAGTGTTTGAGAGATCATAAGTGATTAAAATTCATCATTTTTAATGACTTACTGATGCACAGCTATTAGAAATGACAACTGAATGTATTTGATCTGAAAGAGTAACACCTTTTTGCCCCAAATTTCTCTAAGGTATTTACTGGAAAAAAAGCCCTATACACTGCCAGATTCAGTGGTTTGCCCTACTATTAACCCCTTACCCAGAAACTGAGGAAAAAATGGCAGAGTTTCAAAATGCAAGAAAAACTGACTTTAAGACTGCTTTAGGAGTTGAAATGAGTTTTTATACCTTTGTCTTTTAAATGACTAATCTCTTTCTGTGGGTGTCCACATTTAACCTATGATATAACTTTAGAAACTGCTGGAGGCAATTTGTACTATAGGATCTGAAGTGATTAACATTAGGTACACATATATATAAAGCATTTCAGTATTTGATGGGTTATATCTTTTCATTTTGGATGCCTTTTTCTTTTTTTTTAATGTTACATTCTCATCTGCAGGGTAATTTATGAGCACAAGCAAAGGTTACAGACTCCCTAATTCAAGCTTCAACTGTTATGGCATTTTTATACAAATGCTCATTTACCTTGTCATACCATTTAGCAAAAAGGATCAATGTGATCCATTATCCCGCAACTATTGTGTGAAAGAAGTGGTTCTGTCAAAAATGTGTCCCCTGGTTGTATTTTTTTGTAAACTAATTAGATATGTCAGACATAATGTTGCTGTCTGCTATTACATTATGCTTCCAAATGTAATAAAGTTGGAGAAGTTTCAGTGCATGAAAAAAACAAAGTATTTTTTCCATGGGCATTTGATGCCCATGGTTGGTTCTCTGCTCTTGGCAGTGAAACAAGTCCTTCTGCCTATACATTTCACATTTTAATTAAAACTAGGGCACATTTCAGAAAATGCCAGGAATGTATATTACACATATTGAATTTCAAGTGTTATTTTCCTGACGGTTCATCTTACAAATTAATGATAAAGTAAGAGAATGGAATTGGAGGTCATTTCTTCCACATTCTCTTTGGGACCTCAGTTCTGCAGTTTCAGGAGGATGAACAGCACATGGGAGCCCAGTAAAATATGCAGAYCCAGACATCCTAAGAATTGACTAAACACTTTTGGGATTGCCTTGCCTGCAGTAGGAGTGTGTCATATGGTAATCTGGGAAGCTCACTTGGAAATGGAAGAGTTATGAAACTGGGTTTGACTGCTGCAGCCGTGCACCCCTGTGTGTGCATTTGCAGGTTTTCTGTAGGGAAGAGGTACAAAGCCTGAAACTAAGGGCAGGATGGCTAATTTTAAATAGGCTTACTCTGCCATGAAGCATCAGCTGTTCAGCACCACAACCTAAGGACTCCCACATCACTGGCTCCTCTGAAAAATGGGAGGATTGGAAAAACTCTATCAGCATACAAGCAAAAGTAGCCTTGATGACTATGTTTAAGTATTGCTTCTCTTTGTCAAAATGAGTTTTGAAAGTTGTCAAACTTTCAAACTTTGGGGCAAATGGCCCCAAACTGAAGACAAGGCTTATCAAAGTGAAAAAATGGCTKTTTAAGTTGTATATTTCTTACTTGTTCCTAGAATCGTGCACCTAACTCATTGTATTTTGTAAGAAACCATTACTCCACTATGTTAAATGGCAGTGTTGCTTTTTCAGGCTTTGACTGAACTGGATTTGTGTTAACTGWGGCAAACAGAACAGTTTGATGGTGAAAACACCCAAAAAGAACCAGCCAGTCAGCTGGCTCATGTACAAACACAGCAGTTATGCCCTAAGTGCTRAACTGTTAAAAAGTCATCCTCTGCCACAGGGAATATTGGATTGCAGAGTGACAATGCTGCTGTGGAGCTGTCTATGAGGTGCAAAGAGGGTCAAGGTGGTTTTAGCTACCTACTCACACAAATAAGTAGGTGTGAGTGCTTAAACAGGTACACAAACACACAGAACAATTCCATGGAGGCCAGTATAAAACCCTTGTGAATGAACAAAAAGTTGTGATTCATTATGAAAGTGCTTTGGGAGAATGACCTGCTGGAGAAAGAGGAAAGGAAAGCAGGAATGAAAACTAAGAATCACAGAAATGTCTGATCCAGGGTGTAGATTTTTTACGTATGTGAGAAGGGCTAGAACTGGCTACCTCACACAGAAAAGCCTATGCAGTAATGAGAGGTGATTATAATTTGATGGAATTTTTCCAAGGGATACTTTGTACCTGTTTTAAGTGTGGTTTCAATTGGCAGCTTCTCCTCACTTGAGGAGAACTTCCAAACTCAGCTGCTATAAGTCACAATCAAAAATGTGACAGTGTTAGAAAACTTTGACCTTCAAAATAGAATTTGAGAGCATTAAATTACTGTACCTGTAATGTAGTCGTGTCTGCAATGACAACTACAGGCAAAAAGACACGAGTCAAAGTCCCCTTCCCTCTTTCTCACAGCAGTGGAAATACAAGTTCATTTTAATCAAGTTTCATTCCTTTTCCTTTCCTCCTAAAGCTGTCTGTAGCAGGTTCTGCAGCAGCTGAGTGAGCAGAGCAGGACAGTTGGCTYGGGCCTTTTCATGGACAGGAATGCCAAATGTTCTGTGGTTATTGCTCCCTCCCTCTGACAGAGGACAC